TCTATCTATCTATCTATCTATCTATCTATCTATCTATCTATCTATCTATCTATCTATCTATCTTATCTATCTATCTATCTATCTATCTATCTATCTATCTATCTATCTATCTATCTATCCATCCATCCCTAATCATCTATCTATCTATCTATCTATCTATCTATCTATCTATCTATCTATCTATCTATCTATCTATCTATCTATCTATCTATCTATCTATCTATCTATCTATCTATCCCTAATCATCTATCTATCTATCTATCTATCTATCTATCTATCTATCTATCTATCTATCTATCTATCTATCTATCTATCTATCTATCTATCTATCCCTAATCATCTATCTATCTATCTATCTATCTATCTATCTATCTATCTATCTATCTATCTATCTATCTATCTATCTATCTATCTATCTATCTATCTATCTATCTATCTATCTATCTATCTATCTATCCATCCCTAATCATCTATCTATCTATCTATCTATCTATCTATCTATCTATCTATCTATCTATCTATCTATCTATCTATCTATCTATCTATCTATCTATCTATCTATCTATCTATCTATCTATCTATCTATCTATCTATCTATCCATCCATCCATCCATCCCTAATCATCTATCTATCTATCTATCTATCTATCTATCTATCTATCTATCTATCTATCTATCTATCTATCTATCTATCTATCTATCTATCTATCTATCTATCTATCCATCCATCCCTAATCATCTATCTATCTATCTATCTATCTATCTATCTATCTATCTATCTATCTATCTATCTATCTATCTATCTATCTATCTATCTATCTATCTATCTATCTATCTATCTATCTATCTATCTATCTATCTATCCATCCCTAATCATCTATCTATCTATCTATCTATCTATCTATCTATCTATCTATCTATCTATCTATCTATCTATCTATCTATCTATCTATCTATCTATCTATCTATCTATCCATCCATCCATCCATCCATCCATCCATCCATCCATCCATCCATCCATCCATCCATCCATCTATCTATCTATCTATCTATCTATCTATCTATCTATCTATCTATCTATCTATCTATCTATCTATCTATCTATCTATCTATCTATCTATCTATCTATCTATCTATCTATCTATCTATCTATTTATCTATCTATCTGGGCGATTACAGTTTTTCTCCATTGGTTTGGCTCATTTCTTGAAACAGAAATTACATTCTCAAAACTCTAAGATCATTTGGCAAAACAGTCTTACAGTTCAGCACAACACCATGGTTCACCTGCAAAAGCTCATACCTCTCCCAAAACAGTTCACTCATGTGTCAAAACTAAATTTCTTTCTCATTTAAACAGTCAGTGCCCCCAAAATGCTTCGTCCCTTTGGCATTGTGTAAGCCCTGCAAGTCAAAATGTTTAGATGTTTTGTCACTATGGCAGAGGACCATTGAAATATCCCCCATGTCCACCTTTCAGCCTTAGCCTAGTCCTTTATTGACAATGGTTACTATACTGTTTTTAGTCTAGCTAACAGAATACAATTGTGTATAAAACTGAAAAAAAGAAATAGGATTTTAGGGTAAGAGTTTGACATCCAAGGGTTGACATCACACACTCATACTGCCAAGGAAATTGTAACCATTATCATTCATACACATAAAGTAACTTCCATACATCAGAGTAAAAAGAAAATGTATACAGCATAATATACCGTAATATAAACACACAAACAAAAAACAATGAAAATGATATGCAGCCTACAGTGCTGTAAATAAAGCTGGAGTTTCACAACTAACAGTTCTTCACCGGTCGCTGTCCTCACCCTCTCTCTCCTGGCCACCGTACTCTATCGTCCATGGTGTCTTCGTGCTCCTCGGCCTCTTCCCCCTATTCCACCACCACGCACCCTTACTCCTCCTCCTCCTCTTCTTCTTCTTCCTCCTCCTCCTCTTCCTCCTTTTCTTCTTCTTCTTCTTCCTCCTCTTCCTCGAGCAGGCAGTTGCCCTTGTTCATTTACTTGACCAGGTGCCTCCATGTTCATAAACTGTACTGGTCCTGCATGGTCAAGCTCTTTACATACATGTTTGGCAGCATTCACAGTCATGGACAGCACCTGTCAGGTAACTAAACATACTGTTTGATTGGTCATCTGAGATGTGTGAAACTCCTTTGTTAGTCAAGTTAGTTTCACCTGACTGTCAATTGCTGTAATAAATTTATCAAATTGTTCCAAGGGATTCATATATGGTATTCATGGTATTATGTTCTTGACTAATTTTGACAATTGAACTGACTATTGTGCATGTGATGACAAGTTTTGGAGCGAACAACCATTAGACTGAGAATCAACAATCAGTTTAGATCAACAAGATCTATTCACTTGGAAATTGTGCTAAATGTCAGCTACCTGTACTTAATCGTTTGCAAAGATGTACTGAGACATTGAGACATGTACTTAGACATTTGCAATTTGATGAAATGAATGAGAAATTCAATTCTGTTGTGAACAATTGCCAAGTGGTTTGGAGGTTTGTCCATGTTGTTTTGAGAATGTAATTTCTGTTTCAAGAAATGAGCCAAACCAATGGAGAAAAACTGTATTATGGTTTACATTTTGCACCAAAACAATCAATTCAATCAATAGTATTTATTGGTGGATCGCGGCCTCTACTGGACAAAGCGTTTAAGAGCAGCGACTGTGTTCTGTCATCTTTCAGCCAGGAAAACATCTCAAATCATCGCTTCCTCTTCACTCAGGTTGTTTGGAAAGGTCGTGACCTGTTCATGTGTTTCATCAGGGCTCATATATTAATCTGTGCTGCTCTCTAGTGGTCAACAGCGGTGAGAGCTGACACACACAAACACACACACACACACACACACACACACACACACACACACACACACACACACACACACACACCAGTGATTTAATATGATTTATACATGGCTAATCAACTAAAACAAACAGCTGGAGCCAGGGCAAGCATACATTTCAGTAGCCTATGTGAAAATACAAGCGAAGAAATTATCATAAAGCCTATTAAGTGCACATCTGTTGTACTTCCAAAAGTCATTCATATTCATATAGTGCAATGCAAAATGTGTGGGTTTGATGACTGCAAAAGCACAGATACTAAATAAAAAAGTGGGCTTTTAGATTAAAAAAAGCTTAAACAATGTACTGTAAAGCTGGATATTGTTTGCATGTGGAAGTGCGCATATGTATAGAAGGTTTTGTGTGTGTGTGTGTGTGTCCCTCTGGTCACATTAGAAGCATTACTGTACAGGGAAGCGCGTCACGGATCCTCCCCCTCCATACCATAATAACCCGCCATGGCTTCCCAAACACGCCTCTATATTATGCACCGATTCCACAGCGACAAAACTCTCATCCGCGGCCCTGGAGAGCGTTCAACGCGATGCCCTTGACCTGTTTATGATATGGAACCGTCTGATTTATGACTCGCGTTGATGGATTGTGCACTTGCCGCTGCACCGGCCGTGACATCAGACGCCGTGCTCACCGGATCGTTCAGTTTCATCCGTTACAGTGAACGATACGGCTGTAAATGTGCCAGGAGGAACATATAAAACTGTCCATCTGCTGTTCACGCGTCATCTATACAGTTCCCCGCGCGCTTCCTTGTTTCAGGCCAATTGCGGGACGGGCTGAAGTCACGGAGGAGGGGTGGTCTCCGGTTCCGGTTCTTTCCGTAATCCCAAGGGGGTAATCCATCGACCGGAAGTTGAAGCCGGCCGGGTGCCGCCATGTTGTAGCAGAACTTCACTTGCGTTAGCATTTCCATTGACTCCCATTCATTTTTGCGTCACTTTGACAGCGAATAACTTTACATCTGAGGCGTTTAAAGACTCCATTTGTCCATTATTTATTTCTAAAGAAACACGAGAATGTATAAAGGGCTCCATTACCTTCTATGTTACACTATGGCCCCGTAGAAACAGATTTAGTAAAAATAGGCTAACGATTGCGTCATAACCACTCGACTCTCTGTCGCGCTGTACAGAAATTACCGTACAGACAGGAGGAGAAGCTCGCAGGCAATCGGGGGGACGTCCCGTCAAGGGAGAAGCCCATAGATAATGAGTCCATAAAAGCAACGGAATTCTTACTCCTGCTCACTCACGCCAAAGAACTCTTTGCTCAAGTTCCCCGTCTCTGCAAGATTAACGTTGGCAGTTTCCACGCACAGCTACTAGAAGATTAACGTCTGTCAGACAGGTTGCTCACGTCATCAAGCTTAGTTTGAGTCGGTCTGAGTCTGCGCGTCAGGAACGGAAGTTCTCAAAAATCGCTAAAAGTGGGCTTCAACTGTCTCAACTGAGTTCCAATGAGATCGCTCTGTCCATTTCTTTTACTGTCTATGCGTAATCCTGCGCCGGTGGAATTTTAAATCCGTTCCTCCAGCGGGATCTGCTCAATGGAACTGCTACACGTTGTTCTTTGGAACGCGCAATTGTTTCATTGTAACATTCGCTGAATGCGCACTGTTGTTTTTAGAACGTTTAATTGATACATTGTGACACTCGCAGACGGAGCATTGTTTAAAACGTTCAACTGTTAAATTGTAACATTTGCGGAATGAGGTTATGTTTAGAACGCTGAATGAATAGGTTAGTCACGTTATGGCTCTCGCCGAATGAGCTTCGTTGCTTTTAGAGCGTTTAATTGTGTGTTACACTGTAACAGTGTGAAAGTGTGCAGAGCAGCCCACCGGGATCCGGTGTGAATATTCAACAAATGCTAGAGGAGGAGTCGGTGCACGATAAAAGGGATGTGAACCGAGAGACTCAGTTTAAAGCGCGCGCTCTGTTTGTTCTTCAGAGGTTTGGTGGAAGCAGTGCTGCCCTTTTTTTTACGAGTGATCTCTCGTAACAGGATTTGGGCATTATCGATCGGATTATAAGTGATCATCCATGCAAAGTGACACGAGATTGACTGCGGCTTCACTTAGTTTTTAGATCTCTGATAACTC